AAAACCCCCAAAACCTGCAAGCTGCCTTTTTTTTTCAGCCTGAAGTTCCAAAGTATTATCCGGTACTTAAGAACAGCTTAGTGCAGCTGTTGACTTTTCTCTCCAGCAGCTGTTAACTTGTCTCTCCAGTGTGGAAAGAAACAGGTGTGTTTAAATTAAAAAGGCAAATTGTTTGGAAAATGACAAAATTTCATTTTAAGAGAGTGGTTTATCTGACCACTGTGGTCTGTGAATGACAACAAAATTTAATTAATTCCCTGGGTAAATCAGAAGTAAAGTCACTTAAAAAGGAATTTCTGCATTTGCCAAATTGGAAGTATTGTACTGGCACAATGAGAAACTGTCCCTAAGCCTGGATGTTCTATCCCTGTCAGAGAAAGGCAAAACTTTGCAATGAATCTTGATACATGAGAAAAGTGTGCTAATTGGCAAAGGAGAGATTCAGTGGATTAAATAGGCACTAGTTATGGTTTGGGACATTATTGGAAAGGAGGGATATTGAATCCAAACTTAAAAAGAATGAAAAATCTGTGATGTGCAAGATCTCATCTGGGTGGATCAGTCAGAAAAGAGAATTAAAAGAAATGACAGTTTACTCTGACACTCTCTAGACTCAAAATCAAATTAAGAGACACTGAAAAATATATAAAGGAAGCTCTTAAAAGCAGAAAAAATGTAAATGTAACTCCAACAGCAAGACTGTAGAAGTAGAGATTTTTCATCCAAAAGGGACAGTACAAAGACCTCCTTCTCCCCAGCTATCAGCACCTTCCGGCATGGGCCAAAAGAAAAGACCAAAATTTAGGGAGGTGTTGCTGAAACCCTCACCTCTACATCCCATACCCCTAATCAGTAAACTCCACTGGCTCCCTACCATCTATCTCCAGGCTCAAACAGAAAACGTTTCAAGCCCTTGGTGACCTGCCCGCTCCTCCAAACGCCCTCTGTGGTCCAGGGACTTGGCCCCCCCCCCCCCCCGCTGTTCCCCAAACAAGATGCCCAGGCTCCCCCACCTGTCACACTGGACTATTACTTTTAATAGCTTTCCAACTGCTCTTCGGCTCAACTTTCTCCCCGCCCCCGTCCATAATCCCTTCAGCTGCCAAAATGAGTCCCGGTCACAGCGTCTCCACAAACTCCCAAAGCGCTTGCTCTTTCTAGGGTCAGTGGTATTTCACTCTTCTGGACTTTGCTTTTCCTGCCTTTTCCGTCTTCTCACACTGGACTTCCCGCCCTCAGTCCAGCTTCACCCAGCTAGGAAGCCTCGGAGGCCAGATTAGAACTCAGGTCTTCCCTGACCCCAGGCCTGGCACTCCACTCACTGCACCATAACGTGTACAACACATACACACATAGCTAGCTGCCCCAAACACATACGAGGCATTTCTAGGATCACCTCCGATCATTACAGCTTGTTTGCACACAGTCATTTGCATGCAGTTTCCCCCTTTAAGATCAAAGGCTGTTTTTCACCTTTCTGTGTATCCTAGTGCCTGGTAAACAGTAGGTACTTCATAAATGTTTGTTGATGTGTTAACCTGACTTGTAACGTGAAAGGAATAATGTGGAAGGTGGTACATGAGCCGAATCCTGAAGGAATCAGAGATTTCTGGGGGTGGAGGAAGAAAGAGTGCCCACAAGGGGTTGGGGGGCAGCCAAGCAAAGGCCTGCAGACATTAGGAATGTACTGCAGGGGTCAGTCTTGGTCCCAGGCCAGCTTGGGAACGTGGGTGGCGCCTGGAGGGCAGTCTAGAGGACGTCCAAATGCCTGGACTAGTCTCCCTCCTTGTGCCTCCCAGGGTCCTGGTCTTCCTTGAAATTCGGCTCCAGCCTCCTAGGACCCCTTTTCTATGTGCATAAGATAAAATACCTGGGGTTACAATGGAAACCAATTAAACCAAGATACAGTGATCAAAAGGTTTTTAACACAAGTTCACAGGCCCCAAGTGTGTGTTCAGTTTTGTTTTTGAATTTGTCTTCTCAGCTCCTGGTGAAGTGCTGGGTGGGCGTGATGCTTCGGGCTGATTTCTGCATGGGGCTCACCCTGGCAAGGGTGAAGAATCCAACCCTAACCCGCCTCTACAAGAAGCTGCTCCCCTCTCAATCACTCCCCGCTTATTCTGCCCGTAGCTAGTCTGTACGTGTTTGCTTACCGTCTCCCCCATCAGACTCCTGCTCCTCCAGGGGGGGACTGTCTTGCCTCTTTCTCTCTCTCCGTACCCGGACCGCACAGTTGGGCTGGCACACAGTAGATGCTTAGTGTTTACTGACTGACGGAGGGAATGTGGCTTGTCTGAGGGAAGGCAGGAGGTAGACATCGCTATTTCCTGACAGGACGCTTGGGAATTATTTCCACTTAGACTGTCATCCGGCAACTCTCAAAACTCCACAAACCCTCTGGGTTTTGATGTCTTTCCTTTCTCCTGGTTCATCCCCCTCCTAGCTGTCAGATCACTCCTCGGTCTCTTCATTCCATCATGTTCTCCAACTATGGGTCTTCTCCAAGGTTCTGTCCAAGCCTTTCTCTTCTCCCTCTCTCTCCCTTGTCTCTTTTTCTCTCACCTCAACAGCTCCCATGTCACAAAATCCATCCACCCATCTAGCTCCAGCCCCGCCCCAAACCTCCCGGCTGAATCACCAATAGACATTCCACAATGGATGCTCTGGAGCCATGGGCAATTTAACCTATTTACAATTGAACTCTTCAACCATTTTCTCCCTAAACCCTTCCCCTTTCTGTCTCAGGCACCAACATTGGTCTAGTCTCCTGGCTTGTAATTTGGGCGCTACCCTGGCCACCTCCCCCCTCCCCCCACCAAGTCCACATGGCCGTTAAGCTGTCTGCTCTCATGCGGCCTTTGGCATCTGCCCCCTTCTCTCTACTCCCATAACAAATCAGGCCCTGGCTGCGGCCTCCTCCTTGCTATCCCCACCCTCCATCCATCCTGCACACTGCACAGGTCTGACCATGGGATCCTCCTAATCAATAAATGTCAATGACTTAGGATTGCCTCCAGGATAAAATATAAATCTGTTGAGTTTTTCATTCCTGCACAACCCAGCCCTAACCCATCTCTGAGGCTCACTGGACACTGCTCTCCTTCCCAAGTCCTGTGATCCAGCCCAACTGGGCTTCTGCTCCTCACACGACACCCCCTTCCTTTCTAAGTGCCTTTTTCCTGACTACTCCTCATGCCTGGAATGCCCTCCTGTCCCTCTCTGCCATTAAAATGCAGCTCAAGCGCCGTCTTCAGCATGCAGCCTTTCCTGATCCCCCAGCTGCTGGCACCCACTCTCCCAAACCATCTTGTTCTTAGCCACTTTGTAGATTCTATGCTTATTAATGCTCTGTTTACACGCATGCATTTCTGTACGTACTTGCTGCGTCCTTAATGAGCACGTAACCCCAAGTGAGCACCTGGATTTACTCCCGGCGCCTCGTGTTGGGCCTGGCTATGTGGGGCGCTCAATGAATCCTCACGGACTGACTGGGGGGCAGCAGCAGAAGTGCCTGCTGTGAGCCAGAGATGGAGGGAGTTAGGAAGGCGGGAAGGGGAAGCATCAGTAGCAGCCACAGGGACCAATCCCAAGGAGCCTGGCCGGCACAACAGACCACGCCTGGGCAAGGACATTGCGAGCGCAAGTTCGGGCCCGCTAAAGACACCGGGAAGTGGGCCTACATTTCAAGGAGCTAGTGTGGCTTCTCTGAAACGTCACTCGGGAACCTCTTGGTTAAATGAAAGGATGCTGATAGCTAATAACAGACAGGAGACCCGAGTCCTGCCCCTTTGTCTTGTTTCTGAGGTCAGAGGCTGTTTCTCTGGAGCAAACCAACGTTGCCATTTGAACTCTGGGCAGTGGCCCCCTGGCCCAGGAGTATCTTGTACACAAACCCCAAGCACTCCAGAAGGGCTGGTTGGAACCGTGAGGAACTGGAGTTGGGGCCACTGTCCAGCTTCTAGAAAGTGCCAGACCTTGGGGAGTGAGCCTGGACCTCTGGATTCCTGGATTCACTGACCCACCAAGTGGTCTATTTAAAAAAAAGAAGTGCTTCAACAGTGAACAGAGGGAAGGCATCTTCTTTTCTACCCCTGACCAAAGTCTTGACCTAAAAGGCTGGAGGTCAAAGTGCAGCTTTTGGATTCAGCTAAACCAGAGAAACACCTTTCACATATCATTCGTGTGTGTGTGTGTGTGTGTGTGTGTGTGTGTGTGTGTGTGTGTGTGTGTGTGTGACGGTGGGTATCAATGCCATGGACTGGGGGCAGGGGCACTTTTCCTCTCCACATACAGGGAGCCTCCCTGGCTTGAATGAATGGTACTGAGAGCCAGGGACAGCCCTGGCCTCCCCAGTGCCAAAAGCTGAGAGAAGCTGCAGGGACCCCTTCTTGATTAACCTGTCTGAGTGGGCAGAGACAATGCAGATGAAAGAACAGAGCCCTCGTCTGAGACAAAGCATCTGAACCAGGAACGGAAACTGAAAAGGCGGCAGCTGGCACAGGGCATGTAGGGAGCAGGATGTGACTCTCCATGGTAAGACTGGGTAGGACCCCCCCAAGGCGGAGCCGAGGGTGAAAGCTAGACAACCCCTCGGCGCCTGGCCTGTGCTCTCCCACTGAGACGGATGGACCCAAATGACCACGGCTCCAACCACTTGGGGTCAGCAGCCCCCACGAGGTCCTGCCCCGACTCTAGTAAAATCGCCCTGCTCAGGCCACAGGGTCAGCACCTCAACACAGAACTCAAGGCCGCTGAGGGACAGTGCTGTCCATGAGGTCCAGAATGTTCCGGCCATAACCAGACCTGGAGGGAAAGGACTCTTGATTCCTTTAAAGTTAGATTTGGGGGGGGCTTCCTTCTCAATGAGAAGATCCTAAGGTTTTCCCATTTACTCACACGTTAAGCTTTTATCCTTAACAGATTCCTTCGCCTCTACTGTGTATCATGAAAATGCAAATTAGAATGAGAAAGGAAGAAAAAAGGAATCAAGGCAGCCAATATATAAATTACAAATTTGTTCCAAAATATACTTACATTAAATAGCATCAACATTTCACGAGGAGATGTGCACAAGCGATCCTCTGCCCTCTGGCATGCACCGTGCAGCAGTCCCCAGGCAGGCCGTGGCCGCCCTCCAGGCAGCAGGAACAGCACGCTGCAGCATCAGCGCTGGGCTGAGCAGAGCGGCGCCCCCAGCGTGGCCGTCACAAAGGCGAGGCCAGCTCTAGCTCGGTACCGACCTCTTTAAATTTCTCAAGAATATCATCAATAGGCTATACAGGACGGGTTCAGAAAAGTAAACATTTTAAAGCAAACAACTTTTTTAAACCAAATACACACAAGTTCTTGCTGTATTTATGCGAGTTCTCCATGTAAAATGGACAGTTGGGAAGGTTCTCTTCTTCAGTACAACACGGTCACGGGACGTGTACAAGCCAGTGGGGCAGATGGGGAGTTGAAAGGGGTGGGGAAGGAGGATGCGGAATATTTGTTTTTTCTTTCTTTTTTTTAAGTGATAGATACAACTTGGAGGTGCAAAACCACGGTCCTGCCATCCTTCATCATCTGGCATAACGCTTAATGTAATCTTCAACTTTATTCCGGAAGTCCTCCTGCAGAGGAAGAGAGGGAGTTAATGATACGTCAACGCTCCCAGAAGGAGGACGAGTCTAGCCAAATTACTCTTACTCCAAGTTCCCAGGGGGTGCAGTTAGGGGAAACCACCACAGAAGGCCACCATTCATCCGTGCCACTGAACCAATCTGTGCAGGAGCGTCCTGCGGGAGGAGCAGTGGGCAGGCCAAGACAGCTCCTGTCCACCAAAAGCAGACAGCCGAGCCACTGAAGACTAGACTGCCATCGGGACAAAGGGAAGTCACAGCCTCCGAGAACAGGCCACTTACCATCTACACGCTTCCATTTCTCTGGCTAGTATGTGGACACGATTTTATTTGTGTCCCTGTACTGGGAAGAGTCTGGAAGGTTTGGGATTCCTGTGAAAGAGAACTCATCATGCTGGGGGTGAGGTGGGGCAGGAGGCAGGGGGCTTGGGGCTGGCATCCCGGCAGCCTCTGGGGAGTACGTGACAAAACCTGAAGTGCCCAAAGTTACACGGCCATGCTCCCGGGCAGAGAGGGACGGTCACGCGTAGTGCCGAGCATCCCCCCTCTGGAAGCAAGCCTGGCCCTTGGAGGTCACGAAGCACCTGAAAGCCTCAGTGTTGGGGTCAGCAGTGAGGGACTGATTTTTGGCTGCAGACCTCCTGGAGTGAGGACAAAGGTGCTGAGAAGAGGCGCTTAGGCCAGTGACCGCTGGTCAGGAGCAGCTTTGGGCTACGAGGTAGATGCAGGTGGTCACAAGGGCCAAGCCTCGCCACTTCACTGTTCTGAGTTTTCGGCTACCTAGAATGTTGTGTCACCCTGAAGGCCCACCTCACCTCAAAGGGTTAGATCAATGGGAGCTTTCTGAACTGCTACAGTTATACCACACGGTCTTTACTTGCTGCCTGCCCTCTCACTCTTCTGGCTGTGACCCCGATGCCAGCAATGCACAACAGCTCCGGGCACGTATGAGGACAGGGGCTCACACCCTGGGGGAAACTCATACATCTGACCTGGCCCTTGTCCCAAGGTTGCCTCTCCACAGAGCTCCTTTTCCCATCACTCTTGGTGCTACCAACATCTTTTACTTGTGACCTCCCTGCCCCAGCATGAAGGGCACACAGCCTAGGGCACACAGGGTGGGCCACTGCCCTAGAGAGTCAGAAAAATGGGGCTCCAGTCCAGGCTGCTGAGTGACCACAGGCTGAGAGATCACTGACCTCCACTGAGCCTCAGTTTCTACTCTGTAAAATGCAGGGTAGTTATGAGGAAACTACTAGGTACATCTTTAAGCACCCTACAAATGGGAATGATGGTAGCAGGCACCCAGTCCCTGTTTGCGGCCAGCTGGTGATGCCGGGACTCCCTCGCGTGCTCTGATGGCACTGTCCCTGATGCACTTTTCCAAGGGATCTGTCCGTAGCTGTTCTCTCCTGGGGAGGATCGATCGGTCCTAAGCACAACAGGTTTCTGCACGGCTGCGCTGAGGATTCCTTCAAACCCTCTTTAACTAGGACAGTGAGAAGGGCTCACCTCATCCCCCCACACACCTACTGACCAAGTACAGGCAAACGTTTCCAAGCAGCCAGCGCCACCCCCGTGAGAACGCTCCCCTCGGCGCTCAGTGAGCTGCCTCACACTGGCCGTGCCTGTTCTGTGGCAGACCCCAGCACGATGGGGGGAGGGAGGGGAAGAGGCCGGCCTTGGAGCCCGGCTCCCTAGCCTTAGCGAGGCCCAGCCACGTCAGGAAAGCTGAAATGGCGGTGACGCCAGGCGAACGCAAAAGCCCTAGGAGTCCTGGATGCCTACACCCCCCCGGCCTCATCTGCACCCAAGCTTGGGGTCATCTCTGTTCCGTGCTCTCCTCTGTCCCTCAGCGCACAGAATAAGCTGCCCAGTTCTGATGATGCTACTTCCACCTTCCTCGTGTTTCATCCTCTCTTCTCACTCTGCTCTTAGCATCTCTCACCAGACTGGGAAAAGCCCCCTGGACGGCGTCCTTCCTTTCAATCTCTTTGGATTCCACACGGTTACCAGAATGATCTTCCTGAGACAAAGATAGGACCACGTCACTTCCTTTCTCAAAAACATTCAGGGGCTCCCAGTGAGTCTAAGATAAAAAAGAAGCTCCTTTGTCATTCAAGGTCCCTTATGTCCACTCTTAGGCTGCTCAGCCAAACCCCCAGCTGACTTTTGAACTCGGCCACCACTCACCCACCTTCCTGACTCTGAGCCTCCCCTCCCCACCCCCACTCCTCATCCTGGCTGTCCTTCACCTTACAATCCTCAGCCCACAGACCTAGGATTCCCTGAGGAAAATGTGGTCCTGACTTCTCATGTTTTCCTGGGGCCCTTTTCTAGTTTTCTCATTGGCTTTGTCAAACTTGAACCTAAACCACACGTTTCTATGTACATGTCACCATTTAGATATTTATATCACCAGCAGCTAGCAGTGTTTTATATGGTGGGTGCCCCAAAAAGCTGAAAATCAGTGCAATCTCTACACTGAAGAATAATCAGAACACACCCACACGCAATGAAATAAATCACTTAAAAGTCTGCTCCCTCTTGACCCTGTTTTCAGCACTGGCCAGCACTGGGCGTGGGGAGCAGGGTGAGGAGACTGAATTAAAATGAATTTATCTACATTTTGTTGTTTCACATCTGAAGACAGGATTAACTATGGACCTGTGGCATTAAGCCTCTCCTCCCCTGCCATGGTTTTACTTTCTAGACAGTACTGGGGTGAGGAAAGTTCTTTGTAAATCTCAGAGAGCCACAAGGGTTTTTATGATTATAGGGACCGGATCTGGGATTTCACTGGTCCAAATGGAACTCTCAGGGGAGTAAATTCCTTTTACCAGTGCATGTTGGTCCCTTCTCTGAAATCTGTAGTCTTAAAGAGCTGCCTGGAACCTTCAGAGGTGAAGTTACTTGCCCAGGATCATACAGCTAGTATGTGTCAGAGGCAGGATGGGAATCCACAGCTTTCTGGCTTCAAGGAGGACCCTCATTCCAAGCTACTATATTATACTGGGCATTAAATACTGTCTGAGCAAAACCACAACTCCCTACATTCTCATTTCCATTCCTCGGGTTAAAATGGCCTTCAGTCACCTTTAGGTCATCCCATACTGGCTCTCCCAGAGACATCCCAAACTGAACTTCTATTCCCTTCCTTCCCTCCTCTCCAAGGCAAACCCCTCCTTCCAGGCTGCCAGGGCTGTCACCTTGATGTGACCCTCATTCCTCACTCTCAAAGTCTAATTAGTTGCCAAATCTTGACATTTCTGCCTCTGCAACATCTCTTGCGTCTGACCCCTTTTCTCCACTCAGTTCAGGTGCTCGTCGCCTCTCCCTTAGACCACTGCCACGGCCTCCTGCCTTGAGACTGTCCCCACACCAGTCCATCTTCACCACTCTACCAGCAGTCTTCCTCAAGTGCAGCTCCAACCATGTGACTTCCCTACTTGATTGGCTCCAGCGTTGCTTCCAGAATCAAACAGAGTTCTCTTTTCCGTTTTTTAAAGCCCTCCTCAGCCTGGCCAGACACTGTCTAGTCTCGCTGGACGTTGCTCCAAGTCCTGCACTCTGCAGTGTGAACACACTGGCCCACTTGTGTTTGCTCCCTTCTACCTCCGTCCTCTTGCACTGATGACCCCAGGCCCAGAATGCACTTTTTAAAAAATGCTGTATCATATTTTTTACTTATTTTGTTAAACATTTCCCAATTAATTTTTGATTCTTTTCTTTTCAATTTATGGGATAAAACAAGCATTTCCATAATAACATGGTATAATTTTTAAAAAGATGACTACACATGAAACTGCAAATCTATTATGCACAACCTGTAATCCCTCTTAATATAAAGTTACGTAATTTTTTTTTTCCTTCCCTACCTTCCCTCTCTCTGCAGAATACACTTTCTACCCATTTCTGCCTCAGAGAATAACTTTCTTCCTTCAAGGCCTAGCTGAAGCTTCATCTTCTACATGGAGCCTTTTCTGAACCCCGAACTGCTGGCAACTTCCCTCTCCAAGTCCCTTGTGTTTACCCACTTTGTACTAAGGGCTTCCTTGTTGCCTTCCTTGTTAGAATGTAAGCACTTTGTGAGGATTACTTCAGTTATTAAATTTGTATCCCTAAACCCTAGCACACAGCAGGCACTTAACTAATGCTTACTGATTAAACTGGCCTCAGTTTAATCACACTACTAACTCACACTACTGAATGCACTCCACCTTCTCACTGTGGGGACCTTCACTAATCGTGTCAAAATTCCTCCATGCAGCACACACAAGGTTGCCCCAGCTGGTCACCTTCTATTTCCAGGGCAGGTTTTGGGAGTGTGTGTTATACACAGAGCAGCTGCTCAGGCTGTCATTTGAGGCAAGCCACTCCAATGAATTCCAACATGAAAACATTTTTAATGACAGCTCATTTTAATAAAGCATGGGAGCCTAGAGAGAAAACAGAAAGCACACAGTGTTTTTTTATGTCATTGATGACTGAACAAACATTCTAAAAAACAACTTCCTTTAGCAAAGAAAAAGATGTTATTTCTTTGGGCTGATTTTTTTTTCCTCTAGAGAAGAAACTACCCCAAACACCATCATACATACCAAAGAAAGAAAATGAATAGTGTAAGAGTCTCCAGTTGGGTGAACAAGGGAAGCCCCAGTTAGTCATTAGCGACCTCGAGCATGGGTTGAAATTCATATGCAGATTTTATTTACTCAAGATTAAAAAGGTTAGTAACAGAAAACAGCCCCTTCTTTTCAGGCTCTGTGGCAGGAAACAGCCTCCCAATGAGCAGAATTCCAATGAAAGGCAGTCAAAGACTGGCTTTGTAAAGAACTTTATCCCCAGTGGAGCAGTGAAGGCTGTAAGCTATCGTCATGGAGAGGGCATGGGCCAGGCTTTCACTTTTCCAGGTTCACAGTCATTTTCATTAGCAATGCCTACTTACCTATTCCTAAGAAAACCCTGGTGCATGGGAGGGTGCTCTTTAT